AAAGCACCAGTTGCTTCCTCGTACAAGTTGGACAACTCAATCATATCCATTACTGACAACGAAAGAGACCTTGGCGTGTGGCTGTCATCAGATTTAACGTGGAAAAAACATGTGAACGAGCAGACAGCGAAAGCGAATAAGATTCTGGGATATGTTAGAAGGATCACGTTGTTTATTCAAAATACTGCAGCCAGACGAGCGTTATACCTGGCATTGGTTAGGTCGCATTTTGGCTACGCAACACAGGTTTGGTCACCACAGTCAGTGGAACTTACAAGTAAACTCGAAAGAACACAATGACGTGCTACTAAATACATCTTAAATCTACCGTTTAGCACAGCTGTTGACTATAAATATCGAGGTTGCGGTCTTTAAATCTTCTTCCAGTAAGTTATTGACACGAATACTTGGACCTCATCATGTTTTTCAAAATCACACATGGTCTAGTAACGCTAAATCCTCAAGTGTCGCCAGCTATCTTCGCCACTCGTAGAGCAACCCGATTAACCTCATCAAACAAACTGAAATATGTCATCCCTAAATGCAGAACCTACCAAAAATCATTCCTCGTAAGTCGTAAGAGCGTGCCGAGTTTGGAATTATCTTGCAGATGAACTGAACCTCACTAAGGATACTAGAATTTCTGTATTTAAATCAGATTTTCTCAAGTATTACTTCACATAACTGAATATTAATTATGATCCTGAAAACTCTCGAACATTTAAGAGTATATGTCTGAAATGTAATTGTATTCGAAGCCTGTTACGTCCAATATCATGTTGCAGTTGAACTGTAAATAAGATTACACCTGTAACGTATGTTGTATGTGTATATACATGTGTAACGATAGTTTTGTGTCGGGCCCGCAGTAATTGGCTATTCGCTGTTGCGGTCACCCAACCGTGGTCAATAATGTACCCACTGTATTTCATTATGTACGTTTGTTTTTGTCCTAACATGTAATGTACTGTTTCATCGGCAAAGTTTATAAATTAGTTAATAAATTAAAAATTAAATTAATACTTTCGCTTAAAACATCTGACAAAAAACCGTTGTAGAGTACTGAGTTCGGCTGGAGAAGAACCGTAGACGGACAGGCCAAACGTTATAGTAGATATTACTAGGGTCTTAAATAGATAATCTATCTCACATTGGCTATAGCCTTCTGCCCTGAGTGTTCGTATAACGTACAAGCATTTGTTTGCTTTGACCAATTTACCTCGCACATGACTGGTGAACTTGAGATTGTCTTGAAAAGTAGTACCTGAAATGGGAAGTTCTTTGCATTGGGGTATATTATAAACATTGTCGAGTTGATCAATATATCCTTTCTTCCGGATGATAAACTCTTTACATTTACCAGGGTTACAAGTCATAAAATTATCGTCAGACCAGCTCAGAAATTGTCCAACTGTATCTGTTGATGTATCAGGACCGCCACTCCAAACTGGCACTATTATATTTGAATCGTCCGCATATTTAAAAGAGCGTTCTCGCCGTCTATGTCCACCTCTAAATCATTTAGGAAAATATTAAAAAGGTAGGGGCCACTTACGCTCCCCTGTGTTGTACCCTTATTAACATCCATCCATTCTCCACGAAAATCGTTACAAACGACTCTTTGCTTTCTATTCTTTAGAAAATTTAAATACCAATTTGTGATATAAGGGTTGAGTGGCACATTTTTTAACTTTTCCGAGAGGAGTGAATGTTTCACGGAGTCGAAAGCCTTGCTAAAATCCATAGAAAACAGTCTAACTGCTTTGCAGTCTAACTGCTAAGAAGCTGTGTACTTTGTTCTGAATAGTCAACAGAGCGTTTGTACAACTTCCCCCTGCCTGTACGCAAATTGCGTTGGGGACAAAATTTCCTCAACTGTCGACTTGACCTGACTATTATAAACGAGCTTTTCGAAGGTCCTCGCAATTACAGGTGTAATATTTATTCCACGAAAGTCACTATCTTCCTTTGGTAAATCAACCTTTGCAAGAGGGTTAATATTCGCTCTTTTCCATGAATCTGGCCAAGTATGTGATGAAAGGGACAAATTCCAGTCGTTAGTTATAACTTCGGTTAGAATTTCAGCATGATCCTTCCAAACCCAATAGGGAATATAATCTGGATCTGTTGCTGTCCTCTTTATTCTTTTCAAGGCATTCCATACCTGCTGTTCGTGAAGCTAGGAATATCTACTTCATCACCAATAATTGAGAGCGTCGGTTCGACATAACTATTATCGTGGCAGAGTTCGCCAAAGTAGCGATTTAATCTTGTAAGTGATGCATTATCTAAAGCAACTCTTGATGACGATGCATTTCGCTGAGAAATATCATTCGTCTTTCTCCACCAAGTTCTACTTCCCACCAAGGTCCTAAAATTTCTTCTGTTTAGACAAATGACATCAGAAATTCTTTTGTTAATTAAACTGAGTCTATCCTTTTGCGACCGAGCAATTCTGGATTTAGCTTTTAGCAAAGATTTAATTAAAGGACTCATCCAGTAAGGGTCACGTGACGAAATTGAGACTGATCGAACGTTCCACGTATTCACACAACTATTCATCCTTAATGTAGCCTCGTCACCAATAAGGATGTCCCGCTCAAAGAATCTTGCTGGGCGCGCCTGAAACCAATTGCAGAAATTGATACGTCGCTGAAGGTCGCCGCGAAATAACTGATGCCGAATGATCATTCGGAATGGGTGAAATTTCAAGTCAAATTTGAAATGCGATTAAAGCTTGACTTTGTTAAGATTGGAAGATTGTTTCGACGAGTACTGGCTTCGGGGTTGGTAGTCAACTCAGCTCGAACTGCATCAACATTCTGCTGTGATCTAGCTACTTTGGGCCGACCCGAGTTACCCTTGTTTCGGTTGTGACTTGTAGCATGCCTCTGGTATTTTTGAAAGTTTCTTACAATCGTTCTTTTATCGGGCGGTCGACAATTTTGAAATCTTTCGACAAATGCTTGTCTTGTTTGTGATGGGCTTCCTGATTGGTGATAAGCTAGCACCATAAACGTTCTTTGTTCCGGAGTAAATTGTTGTCCAACCATTTTTGAACAAAGATAACGCAAAAGAATGGATTGCATTTTTTCTGCATGCTTTACGTATTCGTGTTCTTGCAGCTTTGGGAAAACAACTTAAATTCCCAAGGGTATTTTAATTAAACTAAATTCGCCTTATGTTGAAACCTTGTCAATTAAATGTGTTGTTAAACAATTTCACACTGTAACTTCTTAAACTTTTAATGTTGTTAATAAATTATACAAAACTTGGACAAATCAGAATTTTGCTCCTGCTTCTTTGGATCGCTGCAAGCCTGCAACAATAACACATTTAAACATTTTGATCTGAAAATTTGGACTCAAGACGATATGATGTTAGACGTTCGCTAGAGTGTAACAATTTACAAATTGAGCTATTGCTTAAATAACTATCCTCCCAAGTTTAATGGGGGGCATTTTTTGGGACACCCTGTATATATAATACCTTACGCATCGAAACATGCCAAATTGGGTTGCTCTTTTTTAAGTCTATACCTTGTATACTAAATTAACAATCAATGGATATCTTGCTCGATATTTTGCTGGATCCCTATAGCCTGTTTATCGTGGGATACATTTTGTTCAAAACTCGAAATGAAATATCAAATTTATAATAAGAAGTGAAGTTTGCAGATTATATATAAAATGTACATACTGTAGGATAAAAAATTGTATACCGCATTTATACGATGGAGCTTAAAGTGCCCTTTTTTGAACATGCCATGCGGATGCGTGAATCAAAATGAGCACAAAATAATGTAACGTATTCAAGGAAGGCACTATAATTAAAATTAGAATAATAATCAATCAAATCTCTATTGCAATATATATAAAATATATATTGCATAGAATAACAATCAAACAAATCTCTTTCGAACCAAAAAGGTAATATAATTGGAAAATGCGGTAAAAAAATAATGTTAATGAACGTAACTTTTTGTTTTGTATATAGATGAAGTTTAATAAGACAGATTATTTCATTGATTTCGAAAATTACATCGAGTGGGTGATATATATTGGTACGGTAGTTTACGTGCTGCCTGGAAGAAGTACGAAAGCAAACGCACAGATTGTAGCTGGAGCTATCTCAATTTTTCTTGCATGGATCAACTTCGCTTTGTTTCTAAAACGATTTTCGTTTTTTGGAATCTACATCATTATGACGAAAAGAGTTTTTCTTACTGTTTGCAAGGTATGTTTGAAGAACGCGAACCTAAGGTTCGAAAGTATTTTGTATACTTTGCATGTAGTTACATTCTTAAAAAAATGCATATAATATATAACGTGCATGAAATTTAAACCAGTCATCTCGATCTTTTTAGTATTCGAAAGATTTCCACCAAAATGTAGCTATCTGCAGTGTCGGAAATCTTGGCTGGGATGAGGAGCAATCCTGGAGAAAATGGACGAATTTTCGGAAATTTTCACGTAAAAGAGGGCTAAAAACAGTCCTTTCGAGTGCAAATGGGGGAAATTGTCCGAAATTTGAGATTTTGTCGGAAATTTAGGAGGCTTTGCCCCCCCCCCCAGAAAAAGTGAATTTCCGCCACTGGCTATCTGATATATGGATTGTTTTTTAGTAATAATGTTTATCCGTGTATGGTCGTAACGTGTAGGAATATAATCTCTTTAATAAATGAACAAGTTGATAATTTTTGTATTTGAAAAGATCCTCAGTTAGCAAGTTTACACAAAGTCAAAAGCGAATTAATTAAGTTGGTATACAGAGTGGTGTTTCTGATTGCGTGGTTGACGCTGCCGGACGGGTGCATGTGTACCAAATGTATAGATTCTATATTTTTAATATGTTTTACCGAATCCATCTACTGTGCGCATACACAACATATATACTTGTTTCTCTTTTTAATGCGAAATACAATTTAATTGTTTATTATTATTACATGTTAATTGTGTTATCTTGATGTCTTAATATGCTGCAATGGTCATTGGGTAGCTACATTTGAATAATTGTTAACCTTTGTCATTTTCATCAACAGGTGTTACCGCTAGTCGTATTGTTTATTGCTGCCTTTTCATTTTCACTCTCCTTGCTCATGCCTCTGGATCAAGGTTTTAATAATGTCCCCGTTTCGCTGCTGACCACATTTGTCATGATGACAGGAGATCTAGATTATCGAGGAACTTTTCTGGCTAATGGATCGCTGCATGTTCTACGGAAGATATTTCTTGTGCTATTTATACTTATGGTGTCCATTGCTATCATGAACTTACTCACTGGCCTTGCTGTTGGCGATACGAACGAGATAATGAATCGATCGAAAGAGAAGAAAAGGATTTACAAGGTAGCAAGCTATATTAATGTATTGAAAAACAAAAGAAATTAGTGTTTAGTCAGCGCCTGTAAATCTGATACAGATTTTAACTTGATTAATATATAACCATTCGGCGTTCGGTTAATTTTTCGCCTTATACATGCAGTATATTTTTCGCCTTAAACATGTAGCACCGAAGAGATATAGCGCGCAAAGTCTGGATATCAGCCATGTTTATAACTATTACCAAAAATGCCACGTATCGTCTTAGAAGCAACGATCGAAAAATTCACTTAATTTAAACAAAGTGGAGAGTTTTATGGAGTTTTATGGAGTTAAGAATTTTTTGTAACATTCATTTCAGTCCGATGTCATATCGATTTCATAATTTATAGAAACAGTTAATTGATGGGTTTTGTATATGGAAATTACCGAGTGCAAATTTTATATATATTTATTAGACCTAAGTTAGGTCACACCGCCCCCTGAAAAAATCTTTTCGGCAAAATATCGGATTTGTCATTGAAAAATATTAGTTAGCGGGTGAAATGTCGTCGGCATGCAAATGCGAGACAACACCCCCCCTGCTTTAGCTTCTTCGCGACAGCCCAAGTTCAACTATAGGTCTCTGCACCGATACATAAAGCGCTCAACCGTAATCGCAGTGCCACAAGTTCGATTCCTTTTTTTCGTCTATATTGTTGATTTATTAATTAATACGTCTGCTTGTCTCGGAGCCATGCTTCAGTTTTTAGTTCTTAACAATGCTGTACGCATGCGTATTATTGCAATGGTGTCAATTTATTTAGTACAAATAACTATGGCGTCAGATTTCCACCAATATTTATGTTGATATTAATTCAACATGTTTCCGTCATTGAAGTGAATTTCGACATTGGACATATCAAATTCAGCATGCCACTTTCATCCAACGTTGCTTCAATTTCAACATGTTGATGTTACAATGTAATTTGAATATTGAACATGTCAAATTTAAGTGAAATACAACATTGCAGTATAGATATTGAAGTAATTTTCGATGTTGAAGTTTCAAGACAGGTTGAAAACGCATCACCACATTTATTTGAGAAGTGAATATTGGCGGCTATAATGCACCGCGCTAAATTTCCGCCATTATTAAGTTGCATTTTTCGTAGCTGTTCCTGGTTAGGTCTGATAATATAAAATTTCCACTCGTTAATTACCATTAACTGAGATTCCTTCTGCTATTAGTTAATTGGCGTCTCAGTCATATACTAGGACATGCATGTAAGTTGAAAATTTGACATTATTTTAGAACGAATAATGGAGTTTTTTCGGGAATCCTACCGTTGCACCATTTTTGAGACTCTATATTTGTTATATGGGTAAATATCTGAGGATATTTCAGGGCATCTCACCATATGAAGCTTAATAGACAGACACAAATAAGACTAAAATGGTTTTGGCAAAAAAGAGACTAAAATGGTTTGGGAAAAAAGACTAAAATGGTTTCAAATGCAATAAAAATTCACTGTGTTTCCGGGAAAATATTTTACCAGCGGTTTTTGTAGCCATTGGTGTTTATTCAAACCATGGGAGGCTTTAATTTGTATGCATATACTATTTAAAACATGAGCAGCAGTGTTTTATCAGATATAAAGATACGAGGCGAAGTCGAGTATCTTTAGGCCTGATAGGACACGCACTGCGAATGTTTTAAATTACTTCAAAAACGGTCGATCTATTGTAAGTTCATTGGCAACGTAATTTTGAAAAAATGAAGCAAAGTGAGCATGTATGTGGATATCGGCAGAAGAGTTTCCTAATTCTTTCCCAATAATACGACTTAGTATAATTACATAGGTGATTATTGAAAATTCTCCAGGCTGATTGATTGCCGTTGAGGTGATTATAACGCGATAATCACCTGAGTGATTTTCACTGATAATCACCTCGCCTTAATTCGGCGAATAATGGTTAATTATACGTCACTACGCCATGCACTGCAAGTGTGCATTCACAACGAAAGATTGAGTCTCGCATGATCTGAAAAAACACCCATGACTACAAGAACAATTGCTACAATACTTTCACGGTAAAACAATAAATGTTTATTGAATTTAAGCCATTTTAGTCCTTTTTGTTTCCTGCATTACAACAATATCTATTGGGCCTCCTATGCCTGATCTTACTAGATTAAACTATAAATATTGTTGGATTTTGTAGATGTAAGTTTCAAGTGTAAATTTTACAGATTTTGATTCAGATCTAACATGCAGGAGCAGCTGCGAAAAATGCAACGGTATATCGTTATTCTTCTCAACCCATAAAAGAGCGTGTTTTGAAAAATCTGAGCACGCCATATTTAAGCCAAGGTTCCATATGGTCGTAAGGAAACCTGGTTTTAGTTTTAAAAATGTTAAAATGCTTTTGAATATTTAAAAAAGAAAAATTTCCATTTTGGCTTTCACACAATCACAGTATATCAAGAAAAGGGAGATTTATATTTTATATAATTATTTAATTATATTTATTCAACATATCTATAAATTGTAAATTGTAAACACAAAACTACCAAGTGACTGTACGTACTTTCATGACAGTTCGCTGCCGGCCATTGCTGTTGTTCGATGTGTTTGGCTGTTCGCCCACCCCCTAAAAAACCTCGCTGGATCCACTACTGGACTGGGACACTATCAGCAATAAAGGAATATATACATTGTAGTTATACAAATATTTAGATACTTGTAATTTCTAGTACGTGATAATACAATTCTTAATTATTACGTTTATATTTAGGCAACTCTGGTTATAACATTGGAAAGAAATTTGCACAATTTTCCCATTTTTTCACCACCTAAAATTAAGAACATTAACATTCAAGACCATCCGGATGAGAAGGTGGAATGCTCGAGCTCGTGGCTGTTGCGACAATGGGAAAAGGTAAATATAATAAAATGTATATTATAGACTTTATTTTGATGACGCTCTGGTCTCGTCAACACTTACTCATTCTTCACTATAAACGTCAAAATGATTATTAATATAAAAGCGTATTAATACAAAAGCGTATTAATGGAAGGCAATTATACGTACATGCCAAAATGTGTGTGCATGGCAGATGCCTGAAAATTTTATAGAAATACTTGCTTTTAAGTTAAAAATACTTGCATTTAAGTTATATTGTAACTACTTTAGGTTTACGACGATGAAGAATTGGAAGAACGTTTAAACGAGATGAAAAATGACGAAGAAGATCATGAGAAGAAATTGGATGGACTGAGAGAAGAAATAAAGAAGACGAATGATCTGGTGCATAAAAATACAGCAGCTATGGAGACAAAGATTGAAAATAGATTAAAAAATATTGAGGCGATGTTGGCACAAATTCAAGCTGGGGGTATATTGCATTCTAGTAACTGAAATATTGCTATGTAAATTTACTTGCATGTGCTGTTATTAGTATTTAATAGTGATTCAATTTAGGCAGTTTCGCACAATGGAATTGTATACATACAAGGTTAGATGACATTTATTTAACACATTAGCAGTAAGAAAGTTATGTAAGCACAAAATTAATTTAAATGTGGGCAGCTGTTGCAATAAAAATATTGACACATAATCACGATATAGCGGTAATTAATATTGGCGCAGCGTGCGAGGCGCGACTAAATATTAGCGCGACTCGCAAAAAAGGCGCGACTCATGAATTGTTTTAGTTTTAACTATCTCAACGTTTTACCAGTGAATATTGTATCGTAATGATATAAACCGCGATTAAGATTCACAGTTTAAGACTTTGTGATATTTAATTAAACTCTTAGTAATGAGAATTACCCAATGAATTTGAAGTACTATTTAAAAACGAGCAGGAGTGTTTTATTAGGTTTAAAGCCACGAGCGCGCAGCGCGAGTGGCTTTAGACCTAATAAAACACGACCTTTTTTAAGTGGCTTCAAAAACGTTTGCATAATAAGTCAAATCTTTATATAAAAATAGGTACGCACTGCGTACATGTGCCTAGCCTATTCAGCCTGTCAAATACAGCTGGAGTTCACATTGTCATAAACATTAATCACAAACACTCATTGTGATACAAAATTAATAATTACAATAAAAGAATGGTCAAAATAAAACAGATGCAGTATGACCTTTCATACAATACCAACAAATGGTTACAATCGCTCGATTTAAAAGCAATAGTCGGTAGCAATGGGCAGCCAACAATATTATTGGGTCACAATTTAATTATTAATTTAATAAATATTTTGCTCTAACCCATTAAGCTGCAGAGCTTCCCCACTGACGAGTAAAATTGTCTGGCGTTGAACAAGTGAAAAAAAAGGAGGGCGCAATGGGGTGCATTGCGGCCCAATGGGTTAAATTCAAAGTTCTTCATTAATATAATATTTAATACTAGATTTCTAAACATTTTTTATTTATTGTATAAGATCTAAAAGCATTGGAATTTATAATGAACTCATCCTATCAATTATGTCATCAACACTAAAACTTTTGTCTGATAGTTGTATTGCCCTGATACTTGCATATTCTGATCTTCCTATATTATCCAATATTATCAACAGTCACCATATTATCAGCAAATTGCCCAGAATATGTGTTCACTTAGTTGTTTGAAGTACTATAGATGTCATCCATCACTATGATTTTGAATTGTGCTTTTTTTTGCAAATTGTTTAAAATTAAGAACCAAATATTTACTGGCAGATCACAAGAATGAAATATTGTAAATGATGCAGGTATAAATTTAAACAACATTTAACTCTAGCTATAAAAGTATGAACATGCTACCCAATTGACACTGGGGGGTGAGGGACAATCCTTGAACATCTCAATAATAGCACACATTAATTTGCAGTGACCATTAAAAACTATAGTAATATAAAATAGTCCAGCCTGTTTTCTGTGTTACATTTGATTTCACATAAATTTTCCGTGAATATTGCGAACTTCGTTCCAAACTTCGTTGTGAAGTTCAAAAGTTCATACTGAAATTCACAAACCGGTTTGTAAACAAAGCCTCTGATTGGTCCCTCAACAAAAATAAGCCAATTCGAGGCTTTGCTTACTAACCGGCTTGTGAATTTCAGTATGAACTTTTGGACTTCACAACGAAGTTCGGAACGAAGTTCGCAACATTCACGGAAAATTTATGTGAAATCAACTGTAATTGTAGTTTTATACCTGCAAGTACGTGGTTAGTGGATAGGGCAGTGGTAATTTACCCACATAATGATATACTAAAATTCAAGATCTGTGCAAGCACGTTTGATAATAAACAATATTATCAACTCACTATATTCTATAAATAAAGCTTTATATGAAGCGTGATCAAAATCTCTTTGACCAGAAGCAGAGTCCAGAGCAGACATGAATAGCAATGACAATGTTTTTATATTATAAAATGACAGATGCACAAATTATAGGCCTAAACATAAATATCGATTGAAATAACAAAAATTAACTTACAGTTTGCTCAACTTTGCTGTGAAAAATTCCTTCGAGTATTTCTACAAGCGTTGTCAACAGTAATTTTGCTAAGTGAGACATCTGCCAGTATTAGAGAGTTTGAGCAAGACAACGAAGTACGAAGACGAAGGCATACTTGACAATTTTTGCCATCTGTACATTATCTTGCACATACCGGTGTTGACGTAAGTGGTGGTTGCTCAACGTGTCTTCCCATGTGTCACTGTTTATGATACTGACCATAATTCATGCCCTGATACAGAAAAAAAACAGCGAGACATGAAACTATATCCTGTCTTTGTCCTTCTGCTTTCGTGCAGAACGAAGTTCACAACGAATTTTGCCAAAATATTCGTTGTGAACGAAGGCAGAAGACGAAGACGGGATATGGATTCATATCTCGCTGTTTTATCCTGATCAGGGTAAGGATTTGGGTCAGCATTCACAAACAGCTAGACATGAATCTCTAATCTGTCTTCACTCCTGACCCTAAACTCAGAATGCGCAAGGTAATGTACAAGACAGGCAAACATTGTCAACCACGTTGTCGTCGTCCGACTTCGTTGTCTTGCTCAAACTCTCTAATTATTCGACAACTATTTATATTTTCATGATTCCAGAGTACTGATAAATTACCAAGACACAACAATCAAGCTTTGCAAGAACTTAAACAGCATCTTTAAAGTCGTTAAATACTTTTTCTTTCCTTTTCTGTTGCATTTAATATCGTCGCGACGTCGCCTCATGCCAGGAACGACAGTTTCCGAAGTAAAGTTGACAATCTCCGTCACAACTTCACATCGTTTACACACGTTTTTAGCGTTACATTGTGGCTAGCCCGCGAACGGGCTAGCCGCAAAAATCGTTATATAAAAATCTTTATATAAAAATCTTTATAAAATATATCTATAATCTATATATAATCTTTATATAGTTTGCATAACAATGGTCTTTTGTTAAAATGTTACTCAAGATTTACTCAAGTTTACTCAGGAGTTACTCAAGTATTACTCAAGATTGGATAATTGCTTCATGAATTATTAATGAGTTTTTGAATGTCCCTAAAACAATTTAGGCTGCTATTTACCCCATTATAATAATTAAATTGTTAAAATTAATTATATCTTGTTCTTGTTTTCGTTGCATGGTTGTTATACATAAAAAGTAGTTTATGGAGTGCACCGTGGGCTTTAATTATATATATACTGCATGGCCGCGACTAAGTTATTACGGTTGTCGTGCAAAGTCCTGCACATAATATGGTACTAACCCTTTATACTCTGTAGCATGTTTTCATGTTTTCTAAACTAATTTCACCACTGAAAGATCGACATTGAAAGCCCGACATTGAAAGCCTTCTTAAAACCAGCCGATATATCTAGTACTTGAATGTATGCTAGATATGTTTGTGAAATTCTACACAAAAAATACTGGACGTTTGGAGTTTGGGATCGCTTTCTGAGACTTTCATGGTGAGTAACTGATTGGAGTATGTATCTTGTCTGTCGGTTCTAATTCGTAAGCACCTGAAATACTGACCATAACATTTTGTCGTATTAATATTTGTAAATTACCAAAAGGCATTTTTAATAACAGCTAGTTAGTACACCATAATCAGCCGGGGGCAGTTTTAGTGTAAACTATTTCTAGTCATTAGGATAGAATGAGGTGGCGCATCATCATTAGCATAGAATGAGGTGGCGCAGTAATTAATATATGAGAGTGAGTGGTGTGGAGGTAATTAATATATAAGGGTGCGTAAGGAGATGCGCACGCACGGCGTCATAATGACATACAAGGCGAGCCTGAGCAAGAAAGTCATTATGCCGCGGTCAGTTTTATCACAAAAGTAATCGTTTTTTAATTAGCGTCCCATGTTAGAGTAGCTACAAAATTTTCCAAACATTCGATATAAGCACAGTCTTTTATCGACAGTGTTTGGAGTAGCTTCCCTTGCTTTGGTTAAAATTAATTTCTTTTTGGAGAGGACTTTTCGTGGATAATATGGCTCAAGAGCATGGAGAAAATCTATGGTAAGTTTAATTTAAACTGAAAATTAGTACTAATATCGAGAGTCTCGTTTATTTATTAATTTATTTATTTATTTATTTATTAAACTTTGCCAAAAACACGTAACAGAACAGCAAATAGACATCTAGACAATAAAAATGGACAAGAATGGCAGGGACACCACAACAGTGTAAACCAATTACTGTGGGCCCTTATACAAAAATACACATACAGTACAGAACATAACATACAGTGCATGGACAGGAGACTAAAAACAACAAGTTAGTTTAGAATGTAAGTAACGGCTAGTGTTACACTTCAGGCATATAGTCTTCCATGTCCTCGGATCTTCTTCGTTGAAGCATTCTCTCAGGGCTGTCAGGTAGTAAGTTTGTAAATCAGCTTTGAATTGCCTAATATTAATGTCAGGAGATCTTAGTGTAGCTGGTAAAGAGTTCCAGGTTCTGGAAGCACGAGTAAAGAAGGAGCGTTGGTAGGTAGAGGTTTTGCATTTGGCCGGACGGAAAGAGATTTGGTTGCTACTGGAGGAACTGGTCGTTCTGGTTTGGGACATGACCTCGGGGAGGACGTCATGGGACATGTCGACCAAGCAGTTCACCGCTTTGAAAAAGAACACGAGATCCAAGTATTCATGTCAGTAAGATAGCGGTAAGAGGCCGAAACTGGCAAGTCGTTCCCGATAGGTGTCACTGCACAAGTACGGAAGGTTTAAAACGTACTTCTTTGCCCTTCTTTGGACCCGCTCCATACGTTGGATGAGGGTAACGGTTTGAGGCAAGAAGGTTTGAGGTTTGAGTTTATGTAATCGATTTCTGTATTTTGTAGGAGAGATCAATTTATGAGTGAATTGGAAAATGCGGAGGTTAATTGCCAGCTTTGTGCCGTTGCCGCAGATGAAATGTTTGACTCTTGGTCACCTGAAACACAAGATGCAGATACTCGCGGCATGGAATGATTGGCAAAACGATGAACCGGTATAAATGAAAGAATCTAAGTGTTCTTGTAATGATTGTGGTCGCGTATTTACGCGTTCAAACAATCTGAAACTGCATATGAAGATGCACAGTGACAAAGCCCACGAGTGTTCGCGTTGCCACAAAACGTTTAAGGTCCGTAACTTACAGGGATATATTTCAAAACGTAGTAAAGTATTTTGAGCTAATAATATCTATCTATATGATTTCAAGGTGCTTTGAACCAGCATATGAAAATGCACGAGCGACGGGGTGCCGAAAGAGAGTATACTTGTAATGTATGTGGTGAAGTATTCCGCAACATTTTCCCATGCCAAGCCCACCAACGCGATGTCCACATGTCGGCGGTTGGAAACGTAGCAAGACGGGGTAACCCGGCGAGCGAAAAGGCAAAGAACTGATGAACCGGGTATGTATACTTTTGAATGAATATATTTCGATTACTAAGTTTGTATTTAAACAGATATTTTTCCTCTTTTAAGAACCTTCAAGACCTTCGACACCCGTTAACGAAGGTAAGAGAGTATATGCTGTGTAATAATTTGAGTTAAAATCACACTAATATGTCTTTTCTCTACTTTCAAGGGGAATCCACGCTATCACTTTTATCGTGTTTTAAGTTTTAACATTCCCTCGCTGTGTAAAATTCCGTTTAAAATTGTCGTACTTATGAGTTTATTTGCATGCTCGTTTCATGGATAAGTTATTTTTATCCTGTTACCAATTATATTTGCTCCAAATCATGTGTTTGTAGGAACAATATTAGTGCGGAGCTCTAGACAAAATCGGGTGTTTAGTTATAATTTATTCCTATAGGACCCCAACTATTCCCCCAAGATTCCCTATTATCCCCATCTGACCTTTCTTCCCCAATTCACAGTCAACATTGGCGTGCTGTGCGTACGACACAAAGTCGAGGTAACCGTGTCCAAGATTGGTATAATTATCGTTTGAACTCGTTGAACATGGGTCAACTTGTTGATGATATAGAGCGTATATTCCACGACCAAAACACCAGATATGATGCTAACGCGCTCTACTTGTGGGCCATCATGCAAGACATGCCAACGGGGCAATTCCCGAGAAGGTTAGAAGAAGATGGTTTTAAGAAAAAGTGGAGTGGAAAGATGGCAATAGAGTGCCTGGAATGGCAAGCGTTCAGTCGACAAATTGAGACTAGGCATGAATACAACAATACGGAGAAACGAATCGGTGCTCGTCGTCTTCCTGTTGATGGGTTTCACGCTGAATCACAAACTGTGTTTAAGGTAATTAGTTAGGATTAAGTTAATTGTGTGGGAGTAGGGTAATGAGTTTTTGGCGATCGCGTGGGATGTACTTAGGTTTTTCTCTTTGTAGGTTTATAATGATTTATTCTCCTTCTCTAGGTTGTTATTGGCATGGTCACAATTACCACCTCAACCGCGGATAGGAGGTGAACGAAACGCGAGATAAACCCATGGTCGATCGAATTATTAGAGGAAACACAGAAAAATAGTGCTTATATTCGTAAACAGGGTTATAACCTTGTGAGTGTTGGGATTGCGAGTGGCGAGCCATGAAAAAGACCAGCAAAGAGTTACGGCGCTTCACAGGATCACGACTACGTCGACCCTTGGATAAGATAAAAACCTTGAGCATGGAGAACATCCTAGCCGCCGTTAGGAATGAGACATTGTTTGGGTGTGTAGAGTGCAACATCCACGTACCCGATAACTTGCGAGATCACTTTCAAGAGATGTGTCCCATCTTTAAAACCATAGACATTTCACGAGACGATATTGGTAAGTTTATGAAAACGTATGCGGAAGAAAACAACATCATGAGACAGCCCCGGCGTAGTCTCATTGGAAGCATGGTCGGAAAGAAGATCCTAGCTGTTGGCAACCGCTCTGTTAAAGTGATACTTAGTGCATGGGTAACAGGTACGTTTTAAAATATAGGTTTTTTCGTTAATAATTTCAACTCAATGTATTAAAATTATTTTGGGGTAACTCGTATATGCCAAGCTGTCGAGCACACACCCAAGCCTTGTTTTAAACCGTTTGGGGATGCACTCTCAGATGCTCGTCGTACTGGAGATGTTGACCTTTTGAAAGCTATCATTGCCAACACCATGAATCTCCTGGGTAATTCATCGTATGGTAAAACCATTACCAACAAAGAGCGACATCGCCAAGTCAAGTGATGATGACGTCGTTCCTGAGCTAATCAACTCCCTATATTTCCGCGAACTTAACACGATCGTTGACGATCAGTACGAAGTTCAAAGCAGTAAGAAGAAGATCAAACTGGACTTGCCATTGCAAGTAGATTTCTTCTGTACCAGTATGCGAAGCTCCGTATGTTACAGTTTTACTACGACTGTTTAGATAAGTACCTTGACAGATCTGACTTCGAGTTCTGCGAGACTGATACCGATAGTGCTTTATATTGCTATCAGTGGTGAAAGTATTGAAGAATTGGTTAAACCTGAGATGAAAGATGAATTTGAGAACGATAAGTGTAACTGGTTTCCGCGCACGGATACTATAGAACATGCTCGTTATGATACGAGAAAACCGGGTTTATTTAAAGTTGAATGGGAGGGAGCTGGTATAGTTAGTTTATGTAGCAAAACGTATTATTGTTTTGGAGATGGGAAAGATAAATTGTCTGGGAGTACAAAGTTCGGCAAAACTACATTTGCGAAAAAACTTTTGAGTTATGTTGATGTCATGATAGATAAACCTCCAGAAAACATTGTGTATTATTATGCTGAATATCAAGATACCAAGAAGGTTTACCTGATGATATACTGGATAGTATTAATCCCGAAACACGTAATTTATATGTAATTTGTCATTATATGTCTTTTATTGATGATTTCATGGGTGAGAAGGACGGAGTTATTTCAAAATTATTCACGAAAAAATCACATCGATCATGGCAACCTGAAGCCATTTTCGGAGACCACCTAATCGCTTTTTGATTAAGGTTTGACCAATATTGAGGTATTTGTTGATAAAAAATACTTATTATAAATGCGTTAATTGTTAATAGTTCTATTAAACAAACCAAAAAGAACGAAAACGGGAAATTACTTGCGCGAATTTAAGGCAGTGTGCGAATAAGTCTCAACAAGGTGCGCGAAATTAAATCGCGCGAATTTAAAGCTGAGCGAAAATGAGTACGACGCGAATTTTAATTAATACATTTAAGGTAGGCGCGTAATTACAATGGTTAGTTTTTCAAAAACCGACTACCAGTTTTAACCCAACCCAAGCAAAATAAATTCGCGCGTGAATAAGATACGCAGTAAGGATCCACTGCCTTACCGTGTTAGGCCTACTCTGGGGCGATAAATCGCCTTAAATCGCTGTCAGATAATGCGATTTTGGGCGATTTAGGCGATTTAAGGAAAAACTGGGACTTTCAAGCACTGCGATTTAATGCGATTTTAGGCGATTTAAGGCGATTTAAGGTTACAGGACACCCTCAGGAAAATCTTAAATCGCGGTACCTTTACGCTTTTGAGTTATGTTCTGGCTGGTTTTAAGATATATTTATGAAAATATCATTTTTATACAGTAAAATAGTTGTTCTAAAAAATTGTGTTCGGAAATTTTTGTTTATTTCGTCATTCCGCTGATATGGCGATTCCTTTGACGACTGCAATATATTTCAGAATCGTTTGAGTGAATTGCTCCTTATTATTAAAATATCCATAATTAGAGCAAAGCCGAACACAATTTTGAAACTGACGTCTTTATCTATGTCCTGTGAAAATTTGAGAAAAATTCGTTAAAACCCGCAGGAGAACAACTCGTTTGATAATCACTAACTGCCGTAAAATTCTTCCGGAGAAAATTGAATTTGAATATTACATTTTCAATGTTTTTCTTACTGCAAGCGAAATGTATTTTATTAAATATTATTATAATAAATTTTTGTTCAAACTTGGTCAGATAGTAGAACTAATCTAATGCTTTCATGGAAACTAATAAAAAAGTTTTAGGCAAAATTAACACTCAAAGGTGTTCTGTAACTTTAAGAAAAAACCTTAAATTTAGCGATTGCAATTTAGGTGTTTTCAAGGTAATTGAATTTTATATTTTGCTCCGGTTTCCTCCCATAGGGCAAAATTGGCATGAATCATATTTTGAAATATATAAAAAAATATCTGTACTGCGCAAGAAAATCCAGTTTCGGACCTAAAACCAAGGCGTTAAAAATTAGTAAAAATTTTAAAAAAAGCCCCGCCCGCCCACTTTTTGGCAAAAGCTAAGGACGCTAACCAACTATTTTTTTATGTGGCCTTGTCACCCTTGTAAGTGAAATTGTCTTGTTTTGTATCTTGTCAACACTCCTTTATTTAGCTTGCATTTTATTTAAACCGTTTCAATCTCGTGCTTTCTTCATACTACAAACATGTTTTACAAAATGTTTGATATCTATAATAATTTCTAATTTTCTATAGCCAGAAACAGTATCGTCACGCATTCGGAAACTGTCGGCGTAATGCTGCAATGTTTATTTTACATGAAGTACATCGTATATAATTTGTAGGAATTCTAAATTATTTTAAAAAATTAAACAAAATGATATTAAACAAATGGCGCACTACATCGTGGTTTTAAGTCGTTGTCAAGTGTTCTGCAAACAAACAACAACAAAGATTGTATGGTATGTGCGATGTAATCAGTGTTTTACTGTTTATTTTATATACAGGTCTGGAAAATTTAATAATAGATGAGAGTTGCAAAACATGCAAATCTCACTCATAACCTCATGTATGTTTTTCGTTTGATGGCCAATATAATTATAACTAGGAGCTAGAGTATAACCATGCACATGTCGAAGTACAACCATACAATGCAGTGCTCGATCTACATGCAACAGTGCACAAATTGCACGATGACCTTATTATATAAATCAACACTCGTACTCATGCATTGACTCTCATAGTCTCCTACAGTACTGTTGTTCTAACACCAATTAGGCTTTGAGAAGCCATGTATATTATAGAGTAATTTGTAGTCCAGCCTCCATAGTCCAAATAAATTGTAGCCCAGCCTCCATTTACACCAATAATGAAATGAATAGTAATTCAATTTTGTTGCAGGTAGTGTATGGGATCTATGGGTCTAGCTTTTAGATCCCTGAATTGCCTAATTAATCGCTGGGGCACTCTGTGCCCCGGGCGAGTATAGGTTTCGGCTTCAATCTCCAATCTCCGATCGTCGATAGCCACAAAATAGAATATTAATGACTGCTTGACCTTCAAAATGGCGGGGACTTTCGTGGAGTGGGCAAAATGTTTTCAACAATTTCGTGAAAATTTTGAACCAATTGTACCTGTTTTCTATCGATTTTGGATTGTGTGTAACTGTGGACATTCCTGCTAGTTTATTTAATGCGTTTTACTTGGTGCACGGCTCTGAAAATCCGAAATTTGGATCGTGGAATTTCCGTGCACGATCATAATTTACTGAATCTGAATATAAATGAGCCAAAGACAATTTCAAGGTAAAAGGTTATAACTTAAACTGCACAACGTAGTTTTAATAAATAACTACTTTATGAGAAGCATATTCGTGTCATATCGATATGAATTTTATCGAACAACAGTCCGTGAAAACTGCAGTGTACTCAGTGTGAAATGATATTGTATTTGTATAAATGCCTATTACAGTAATGGCGCAATAGCCAATAAGGATAAAAATACCACTGTTCGATTCAGCATAAGAAATTGCACTTACGGATGCCAAATGTATCACTAAACAACAGTATTCTAACGATTTATGGACTTTGAAAATCAAGCGACATTTTTATTGTTGACAAATTTAATACTCGCCGTTTGTCCGACCTTGTATTTGACCTTGTATTTGTAATGCCTAATAGTAATAAGGCCACATAAAAAAAATTACTTGTTTAGCGTCCACCCATTTTAATTTTCCTAGGTCGGGCGGGCGGATTTTTTTAAATTTTTTTTCGTAAAATGCAACACAAAATTCTGCTAAATGCAGGAAATCCAGTATATTACCACAGTCAAAACTCACTTTAATTCTTTCAAAATCCGTTCATGTTTTTAATAAAACAGAAATGATTACCGTTTGGCGGTCACGCGCGAACACTTTAGCTGCGAGGAAGGAGTAAACGTATTACATAGCTCCCAGAAGAATAAAATCACCATTTTTTCAAGTAAAACGGTCTTTTTTATAGAGAGTTTTTGCACTAAACTCGGACGGATTTAAAAAAAAAAAAAAAAAAATTGGAGGTCGGGGACTTTTATCAGGTCGGGCGGGGACGCTAAACAAGTAATTTTTTTTATGTGGCCTAAGTAATGGCGGATAAAAATATAAGAAATTGTACTCAACGTAAGAAATTGTACTTATATGTGAATGAGAAATTGTACCTACGGGTTTCAACTGTATTACTAAACAACTGACAACACTATTTACAGTATTCTAGCGATTTATGGCGTTTGTCGTTGAAAGCCAAGCGAAATTGTATTATTTGTTGACAAACCGCTCAAATTATAAAAATTCTATAAAATGCAATATGTTTGATCCTTGATAACTTTGGTATCGTTGGTTTTCTCTTGTTCGGCCGTATACCAGTGGATTCGTCTAGCTTCTTTCTTCATTTTGATAATATTTCGAGCCCAAAAGCCCCAAAATATTTTAGTTTGGACGTTTTAAACTAGCGGCCAACAGAAGAATGTAGTGTTCTACAAAATACAACTTTTAATACTTGTGGGCCATAAACGCCGGAAGTTTTATTTGTACTTGTAGCACAGAATAGCTTGTAGGGTACCGCATTTTAGTGTTTTAAGCTTTCGCACTCGTATTCGACTTTTCCGCTTAGCTCGGGGTCAGGCTTGGATCTTAATAGACCTTTCCCCTTTTCAGTGAAATTTTGATCTAGATTAGCCTGGACAAAAATTTCATCACAGCTTGGAAGAGCATTGCAGAATTAGTAATATTTCGAAGTTTCGTTGGAAAAAGTTGTAAAATGCGGAAAATATAGCCTTGCGAAGCTTGCCGTTTTCAGTCATTTTGCAGTACAAACGGAAAATTGATAATCAGATAATGAAACTGATGGTCAATTTCCCATTTGTAATACAAAATGACTGAAAAACGGCAAACTTCGCATTGCTATATTATCCGAATTTTAAATATGACTAATTTTGTCATGCTCTTTCAA